TGGTGCAGTGCCTGTGGCTGTCAGTGTGCTCAGCCCTGAGAGATGAAGGGACCTCCAGGAGCTGGGGCATCCCTGCTTCTGAGGAGGACTTGGGCTGGGAGGCCATGCCCCTCATCTTCCCTCTCACTGAGGAAGCCCAGGTCCTTGCTGGGGTCAGTCTGCCATGTGCCCTCACAGGCCTTGAGTGCAAGCACCAGAGCAGAAGTGAAGAGCTGGCTAAGAGTGGGGCCCTCGTTAACCCCTTCACTCAGAGGGTAACCTGTGAGATTAAGAATCCAAATTATCCATCCCGAATAACATCCCTCTTTGTTGAGATCGGACCAGATAACTAAAGGTGCCAAGAATCTCAAATTTGGAGGCTTTTTGGGAGTAGTAGTCGAGGTTAGGATTAATTACTATAGAGACTTAGGAGTCACATAGTGATTATGCACTAACCAATTGTATTGCTGCTTTTCCCGGGCAGCTGTTGGCATCTGATGAGTAAATGTCTCCACACCACAGCGGGGTTTCTGAAGAAAACTGGAACTGAGCAGTTGTGGTTGGAGCGGCACTTGAAGGATCCCTTTGTCAAGGCAGCAAAGCGGCAGCATTACCGTTGCCGAAGTGCCTTCAAATTACTGGAGATTGATGACAAGCTTCGTATTCTTCGTCCAGGACTTTCTGTTCTTGACTGTGGAGCTGCGCCTGGTGCTTGGAGCCAGGTTGCTGTAGAGAGGGTCAACGCCTTAGGTACCGGTAAGTGCACATTTTTAGGAGGAAAAATGGAGGTGATACTCATCTTCAAGTGTGTGAGAAAACTCAGCAGTCACTGGCAGTGTGGGGAAGAGACACGGGTACTAGCAAATGCCAGAGTCACTGATAGAAGCATGAAGGTGTGTGTGTGAAAATCTTCATATGGTTCAGAGAAATCATAGTTGTGGAATTAAAATTTACCATGAGGTGCTATTGTAGGCATAACAAAATGTTCTGATAAACTGTTGAGGGGAGGATCCTTTCATCTGGTTCTGAAATTCATGAAGGCTCCAGCAGATAACTTGGCTTTTCAGAATTTTAATTCCCTTCTTGAAAAATGGTAGTAACCACTACATATGGTTGATATGTTTTAAGACGTTAATATTTACCAGGTAAGGTGTTATCATCTGTACTATTGTCCACAATTTCTGGACTGTGAGCCTTGAAAGAACAGACTGACAAGAAAAATACCCCTTGCTTATCCAAAGTAACCGTGTTTTCATGTCTTGGATGGATCAGCTTATAGCAAACCATCCATCCAGGTGCATGCAGCAAACTGTCTTAAGGACAAAAAGAGCAGACATGGCAGGTGATAGTTTTTTGTTTATTGCCTAGCGCGGAGCTCATGCATATGCAGGTTGTTTGCAACCATTATGAGTGTTCAGCGTGTCATTCATTCTTACAATCTAGATCCTGCTATCCCCACCGGCTTCGTCCTTGGTGTTGACCTCCTGCGGATTTCTCCGCTGGAAGGAGCTGTCTTCCTGTCTGAGGCTGACATTGCAGACCCGAGCACGCTGAGGAGGATCCAGAGTCTGCTTCCTGCAGAGAAGGTGGATGTTATCTTGAGCGACTTGGCACCTAATGCCACGGGCATTAAAGAACTGGATCATCAGAAGTTGATCAATCTGTGTTTAGGCCTTCTGAATCTGTCCCAAAGTATTTTAAAGCCAAAAGGAACAGTGCTCTGTAAATTCTGGGATGGACATGCGTCCCATCTTCTGCAAAACAGACTGAAGGAGCAGTTCCAAAATGTGAGAACTATAAAGCCTCAGGCCAGCCGAAAGGACTCTGCTGAGTGTTATTATTTGGCAAGACTGTACAAAGGGAAATGAAAGCTGAGAACCACAGATTATCAAACAGGTGGTCAGACACTGATTGGAAATCTGAGTTTGGCATGTGTTTAAAGAAAAATCTCACCATTAAGACCCTGGGAGAATCTGCCACGAGTACATCATGCTTTTCAAATACAAAAATAAACCCAGGTGGTGTCCTACTGAGTTTGTCCACTAATTATACAGACATCCCGTCTTCTTCTCACCCGTGGAGAAAACTATGGGCATGGAGAGGAATAATCTGAAAGGCAACCTGTGGGGCTGGAGTAATGGAAATGAAAATAAAACAGTGATTATAAGAGTTCTGAGTGTGTGCTTGAAAATCATTGCACCACTAATGTTGCCATGTGTGAGATGAGCATAAAGGCGGTTGTCAGAATGAGAGGGAACAGGAAGGGGAGTTTGAGCTGATTTATTGCCTCTTCATCTTTCTTAAAAGGTGGTGCAATTTATTAGCACGTGAGAAAATAGCTCACGTTTTGCATGTCAGGATCTGCATTGTCACGTCCGATCTGTAACGCGCAGGTTCGGTGACTGACTGACATCTTTAGCCTAATGGCCCTGCTGCGTTTTCTAATGACACAGTTATATTTAGAAGTTGCTGCTTCATTGTACTCACAAATCCAGTCAGTGACAGGCAGGCAGGGTCATCGCTACCGTGGAGATAATTGCCCTTATGTTTTCAGTAATGTTTTATATTTGACCGATGATGTTTCTTAGGTGAAATGACAAGATGTTCCCTGGATCCCAGACAGGGAGAATTACTGATTGAAGTGCTAGAATTCTCTTTGCCAAAATAAATTTAGCCACTACCTTATCTGGAAGTGACAACTTTTACATTAAATAGCACTTTTATCAGGCCGACTGTGGCATGAGTTATAGGAGGGGCTGGCAACACTGTCTGGTTTTAAGGCTTCCAGATCTTTTTTCATTATAAACATCTCCTTTGGAATTGCTTACAGATTTATCAATTTTTAACTGCTTTCAAACTTCCTGATCTGTGTCTCCACGGTGAATGATGTGCATGAAAGTGTTAGCCTGACTGCTTGAATTGAGGGAGCTGGGTGTTGCTTTGTCTGTGTCTGGGGACGAAAAGACGGATGTCAGTCTGCACTTTGAGAAACTTTATATCCAGCTGTTGGCAACGGGAGCGAGCAGGGCATGGGCTGAGGGGGTGTTGCCCCTGCCGCTCCTCCGGCTGCACTGGCGGTGTGGCAGGACGACCCTGCCCGAGCGGGAGAGGTGCGGCTCGGTCCCGGGGATGAAGCGGTTTTTGGGGGGGTGGGTTGCGAAGGGGCGGCGAGGGGCGGCTGAGCTCGATCGGCTTTCGTACGGACGCGGGGCATTACGGTATGGCGCGGAGGTCGCGGCGGGGTGGTGCGCGCCTACTCTCATAATTACGGCGGCCCGGCCCGCTGTTCTCGCGAGAGATAGACGCGAGTTCCC